AGTGCACTAACAACAGTGCCTGCTAGTCTTAGAGCACTTACGCTGTGCCAAGCACTGTGCCAACTGCTTTACTGGCATTGCTACATTGAAGAATGCTTACTTATGAGGGTCCTGTTACTATTCCATGTTTATAAATGATAAAGCTGAGACTAAGAGAAGCCAAAACAACTTGTCCTGGGCCACCCAGGTGGGCAAGAACAGCTTCAGGTTCTAGGCCAGTTTGACCCAGAGAGCTGGGTTCTTGCCATACACCAACATGTTACAAAATTTTCAACAATAGTTTAAATTAAAAAAAAAAAGCAGGGGGCTGGTCGTGGAGGTTGTAGCATTAATTGATGGTGAGACTTTGGTTAATTAAAAAACTTTTCTCAGCACAACATACCAAAGGCATGGTAGTAAAGTAAGAAAGATTCTGCTGTCTTTTCTAATCATCTTGATCCCCGAGCCAGAAGGTTTTGTCAGGTAATGTAATCTCGTTCTGGCCTTTTTTTTCATCTAAGTGAAGAAGGGTCTGAGATTAAGTTTGGGAGGAGATTGAAAACCAAAGCTCGGAGGAACAGATTAAAATGATTCTAGGCATCCTGAAGCAGGAGGAAAAAATGATAGGACTTTGTTGATGGAGCTGCTGAAGGGAGATAAGACGCATCTCAGAGGGACCAGGGAAGAGAAGGAAAGAAGCTGAGGAGGGAACAGAGATAAACAAGGTAGAGAGAGGAGATAAGAGGCATCGTGAGGACTGAGGGCCAGGCAGAGAAGAGGAAGGCAGGACCAGAGTCTCTGCAGGAGAGTAGGACCCAGGCCCTTTGCTTTCTCTTTTATCCAGGTATGTTTTTAAAGGGGGAGGGAGCCAGATTCATAGAATATTTTAAGTGCCAGATTCTGATTAGTCAATCTTTGAGCCTGAACAGATAGCCCCATTGAAAGTAAAGCTAAACTTGAGTCCCTTCAAGAATGGGAGTCTCTTTGAGCTTCATGCCCTCCACACTGTTCCATCCATTTCCAGGTTGGTCTAGTCAGACAAACTTAGAGAGGGAAGACATTGAACCTCACTAAGGTGATCAGGGGAAACCCTAAGACCCCCAGTCCAACCCCATCCACCTTACACAGGATTACCATCATGAAGAGATCACTAAGGCACTTTATATACCTGGAAGGGCCAGAGACCAGGGGTTGAGGACATGAGCTCTGAAGCTGCTTCAGAGTTTGAATCCAAGCTCAACTGCAGATTAGCTACTTTATGAATCTGAACTTTCATTTCCTCACCTGTCCAACAGGGTAAAACTGGCAACCCCCCTCATAGAGAGATTAAATAACGCATGTAAAGTGCTTTAGGGTAGTGCCTGACATACAGAAAGTGCTCAAATAATATTAGTGATGACTGCCAGCCCTGTTATTAGGTTCAAGCACAAAGCTAGGTGCACACATGAAAATACTTATCCATTGGATTGAGGAGGAATCAGGACATTTGATTCCCACTATTGTGGGAATGCAGGCAGTGACTTTGTCTCTCTGTTCTTGCATTTTTCTCCCCTATCAAATGGAGATATCCTCCTCTTCTGACACAGAGTACCATAGGTTTGGAGATGCTTAGAAACAAAAATGGGAAACGGCACAGAAATACACAAGAGGTTATTTCCCTTACTGCACCATTGCTCTTATACCAAACTACCTACTCCCTGCCATGTTTATGAAGCTTCACTGCAGCTAAGAATTTTTGCTATAATTTTCTTTCACCTACTAGGGCTGAAATGTTTCTGCCTCATTCCTCTATTGACTTCCGATACTCACATGAAAGGCACAGTTCCCCAGCTTCAAGAAGGTGTGTCTGCAGAATTTCTAAACTTTTATCCTTTTTAAACTCTTCAATCTTTTTGCCTCTTGGATACATTAAAGACGATCCAAATATTTGGAATCATGAAATGCATAACACAGATGAAATGGTTCTGGAGACTGTAAGCTATCTGGGAAGAGGGACTAGGTCTGTCCGATTCATTACTATACCCCAGCACCCAAAATGGCTCTTTGGCACATAGGAGACACATTAGAGCAATGACAGCCATCTTGCAGCCATGAAGAATGAGCCAAAAGAAGTCACAGAGACTCTACTATCTCAACATAAATCTGGATTTCTAGGTATGTGAAATAATTCAAAGTCTTTAAGTCACTACTTTTAAGTATTCTCTTACTTGCAGCTGAATACATTCTTACTAAGATAATGAGTAACTGTGCCCTGAGGAGGGTCTCCCATTATTTTTAGGTACAAGAGGGCAGATAGTTCCCTTTTTACCAAGTTCCTTACTCTGCAACAAAGGTTTCCATTTAACCAATCTCCCATGTTTCTTTTATAATCTTAGCATCATCTCCTCATTATCCCCCTGATGTCTCTGAAAGATTAATAGCACCACCTTGACCCCTAGACATTCTTTCTCCGTTTATCTTTTCTGTTTTCTCATTATCACTTTCCACAGACCAAATATTATATCTTGATTTTTAATTACTTTAATGGGCCTCATCCATAGTAATTGGGACATTTAGGTCATTATCTTGTCTCCTCAGATCTTCTTGGACAATTTTATTGATCATTTCTTTGAGCAAAATCATGTGGGGGTACTAGACCCACATAAACTTGTAACTTAGGCCAAAAGCTGTCCTGATTAATTAGCAACATTACCTTCTGGCGCAAAGCTGCCCTGTCTTTAGAATCGTGGCTTATAGTCATTGCTGAGTATTAGCGTTATCCGAGGTGGCATAAAAACTCTTGATAGTCTCTCCCCCCTCCCCATGCCCATTAAAATCAGGATTTCAGAGGGGAGTTGAACATCAGTAGTTTTTAATACTGAAATCCCCATATGATTTCAATGTGCTGTCGACTTTGAAAATCAATGCTTTAGGCCAGTACTTCTCAACCTAATGTTCATATGAATAACATGGAAACCTTGTTAAAATGCAGATTCTGATTCTCTGGCTCCAGGTCAGGGAATGACATTCCGCATTTCTAAAAAGCTCCCATGTGATGACAACAGCATGGTCTGAGCCCCACATTCTGAATAACAAAGGTCTAGAATCTAGAGTTAGTAGTCCATTTTAAGAGGGGATCTAAACAAATTAAACTCCACTTGAGTCCCACTGTGGTGAAAACATCATCGCTGCAAGAAAGCCAAGAGCAGGTGATTGAAAGAACTCCAAGGGTGGTTGTTTTCAGCTCTAGTTTAGTTATGGACTCAGGTGGACCAATCATCCCAGTTTGTCCAGGACTGAGGGGGTTCCCAGCATGCAGGACAAGGACAAGTTGCCCTAGTTATGGTAGTGTTCTTCAAAGAGCAACAGAACAGCCAAGTTTTACACTTCTACATTCTGATTCCTCTTTCTGGGAGTGTCAGTCACCCTAGGGTCAAGGGTTTGCTGGGAAAGATGGGTCAAGGGAAAGAAATGCATGCACCAAGAATGTAATGTTACTTCAGAAGGGTAAATAATCAGGCAGATCCAGGTGGACCTAGAAAACTCCAATGACACGTTTGTGACATGGCCACAGAGGTAAGTCCAGGTGAGATGGTTTAGGTCTGTGCTCTAGCACTGGTTTACTGTGTAGCCTGGGGTAACTAAGGCCCCCTGTCAGGGCCTCGGTTTCATCAGCTAAAACATGGGAGTTGAATTGTTGGATACGTGGGTGTCTTTCCTGCACCCACCCTCCACTCCACGTGCAGCACCCCATAAAGCATACAACTGCAGAACAGCACCTTTCCAGCTCAGTTGGAAAGTAAACCCACCTTCCATTTTGTGAGCAGCCACCTCCAGCACATTCCAAGACCCTCATAAAAACATCAGCATTAATCATACTCCATCTAGTACATTTCTCTTCGGTGTCCTTTGATGTTCAGAGAGCCGAGAATTCACAGAGCCTTTTTTTTTTTTTTTTAACGACTATAACATGTTTACAAATCCAATGAAATTCTATTTTGAGACCCAGGCTTTTGGTTACAAGTGGCTTCCTCCTTCTGATCCTGCCTCCACCCAGGGAACTCACTTCTCAACTTTTTGTTTTCTTTAGAGAGACAAAGAGTCTCCCCAGCCACCCATTGCTGGATTCCTGTTAACCTTTCATTAAGCCTGCTGACAGCTTGGCTCCAACTCTTCATGAGTTAGTTCAACACATTCCCATTTAAATGTGTCCCACCTGGCTTCATTAAGGTTCCTGCCAGGTTCTCCACTTGCAGCTTCCTCTGCAAATGCAAATAAGATTCTGAGTAAATAATATGGGGACCAGGGAAGATTGAGCTATAAAGAATTGGGGATTGGAGAACCATCAAAACACCCAGGTCGCCATGGATTTGAGCAAACTAAAATCCATCTGGGACCAACACAGGCCAATATCGCAATTCTGTATGCACCAAGTGTTAAATTAAGGCCCTCGCTGTGAAGCACAGGGTAGTGGTTAAGAGTGTAGAGTCCTTCCAGCCTGGTTCAAAGCCCTGCTCTGTCATAGGGATGTTGGTCCATGTGACCTTGGACAAGTTTCTTCACCTCTCCCTGCTTCTGTTTTCTCAGCTCCAAAAGCAGGAGTAATTTACCTGTTTCACTGGGCTGCTGTGAGAACCCAATGAGAAATTGCCTTGAAACACTTGGTAGAGTACCTAGACCATAGCGAATGCTTTTTAAGGACTGGATGTTATCTCATTTAGCCTAGAAAGACCAAGGTCCAGGTTGCAGAATTAGGTTGTTCTAAATCCTCAAGGTTTGATTGTGGACCCACTATGTAAACATCAGCTGTAAGAACGATGTCTCCATCAAAGCCCTTCCTTGTGCAAATGGAAAATCAACACTGATTCCATTCTGTTGCATTTCCCATATGTGTTTTGTCTCATTTAGATTTTTAAGCTCTGTAAGGGAAGTGATTTTCTCTCCTGGGCCCAGATACTAGGAAGTTATTTGTAGGTGGCTACCAATTCATCCTGATTGCACAGAGAGGGAGAGAGAGGAAAAACTAGACCAACGATCTCTTCTGATCAGGAAGTCTCAGCATAAGAATTGTATATTTATTAAGTCATCATTTGGCAAAACCCTACCCTACCCCCTGGACTTTGGAGTCTCAGACCAGTTGCCTCCTTCTAGCCGATGGCCATGTGTTGCTTGGCCAGGTCATTATTCTAAGTTGGAGTGTTAATGCCTTCAAGTGGACACAGACACATTCCACTTTGTAACGGCCCAGCACTTCCCCTTGCCTCACTCATCTATGTCGGCTGCCTAGCCTCTGAAGTCCCGGCCACCCAGCCACCCAGCCTCAGGCAGAGCCCACATGCTTTCTCTATGCCAAAAGTAGAAGTCAGGAGACAGGAATCTACGATCTGTATTTAGAAAAGGATATCTCTGCCACAGCATGGAGAACCAATCGAGAAGGGAAGGGGCATAGATTGGGAGGCGGCTTGGAAGCTACTGTACGAGTCGAGAGAAATTCCAGCTTAAATGAGGTCTCTGACAACCACCTCCACCTGGACCTTTGCCTCCTGTTGCAGGAAACTCCTGACTCTGTGCAACCACACACGCACCACTGCAGAGCACTCCTTAAGGGAGAATCTTCTCTTTAAAAAAACAAAACAGAACAGGGGGTGAGCCGAAATTATGGTGTGGTTCCACATTACTTCCTGAATTATTGATGAGACCTAGGGCTGCTCATACCATACCTGGAGTGGGGCACTGAACTCCGTAAGCTGGGCATAAAGAGAGAGATACAAATGCATACAAGGCAAAGGCAACTAGAGTAGAGAAGGGACCAGAAATCATGTCCCAGGGGCAAGGTACTTTGGAGAGACATGAAGCTCTCCTTCCAATATCTGGAGTGCTGCCAGAGAGGAGAGAGATTATACATGTTCTGGGTAAACACAGTAAATTCAACTAGGACCGCCAGGCAGGTGCTTTCTGGAGACAGCTTTGTTTTAAATATTTCTGTCTCAGAACTGCCCTGAGATTGAATGATCTCCTTTAGCTGTGGTAGTGAGCTCACCATCACTGAAATTATTCAAGCGTAGTCTGGAAGATCCCTTAGCCTGATGCTACAGAGGAGATTAAAGCACCTGGCAGGGAAGTTTCGGTCTCTAAAATACCTTGCACTTGTGAAATTAATGCAAGACTGAATGGATGACACCAATGGAATAGATGAGGCTTTAAAAATAAAACATTCTAGGACTTATTTTGACAATTCCCACATGATGCCCCCATCCTCAATCCTAAGAAAAGGTGGCCCGTTAGAGTGTGAAAAGACCATCTTCAACTTCCCCTCCATGCTGCATATCTTCAGAGGTGTTTTTACACTCTCCAACATTGTCAAGCCTGTAAAGAGAAAAGAGAGGCTGAAAATGGGAAACACCAGGACCAGGAATAAACGGATGCTGCTAAATCACAAGGCCACTAACCATGGCTGTTAGAGTTAAAAGAGCTCAAACTCCATCCATCCGGCCCAAGCCTCTCCATTCACATATGGGAAAACTGAGGCTTCAGGAGATAAAGGGCTTTTGCAAATCTATTCTAATAAGGGAATTAAAAGTTTCTATATTGGAAAAATATAAAATTGTGACCTAAATGTGTTTATGACCTTGGAAAGTCACCTTGCGAAGCCCCACTTGTTAATATTTATTTGTTAATTGATATTTTGGTATTGACGTAATCGTTAATGAAAGCACAGTCTTCATCAGGTGACACCAAATCTTTTCATTTCTTTCCCAAAAAGCTATAAAACAGGACAGATATTCAAAATCTCTTTCCAGAGACTCTTCAGACTATTAAAAAAAAAACAAAACAAAACTGTTACAATGATCTAATTGGGCAGAGGCACCAAATCCCAGGAATGATATTCTACGTGTTTTCATTTTCCCCACTGCCAGCTCTCTTCTCTGGAAACTCCTGTTTAACAACGTCCTTTTAAAATGAATTGCCCAGAGTTGAACAAAAAATTCTGAACACAGAAGATAGTGACATATCACCTTCTGTCTTTTGCATGCCATGCTTCTATTAATGCAACCTGCCTTTGTATTTATATTTCAGACAAACATAACACAGTGTTAACCAGGACAGAGGTTAATGTGAGCTAAATCCCACATCTTTTTCACCTCTAATGCCACATTTCTCCAACCCTGTATTTCATCAGAACACAAGAACAAGTCATTAAACCACTGAGTAGTATCTAATCATTTGTAACAGCTTGTACAATCATTACAACAATCAGTCATGCAAGATGAATTACCTTGTGTGTTTCTGGAAACAATTGGTTTTCATGACTTTCCCTGAAAAGACAAGGCCATGGTATAAGCAGAGTAGCTGTGTTAGGACATGTGAAATGCTGGGTTAAGCCAGGAGCTGCCTTCCCAAGAGCAGAGGTGGACCAAAGGTGAGAATTTAGGGACTGGTTTAGGCAGGGAAATGCATTCCTTTTCCCAGATCTAGTGACTGCCTCTATGGGTCCTGAGGCAGTGCCCATCACTTACACAGTTGTTCCCATGTGTGGGCAATAGTGTTAAGCCGCTTCATTTTTAAGTCATTGCCCACTCATAATTCAAGCACTCACTCAAGTTTTAAAACACTTCCTTATGAGACATACTCAGAATTTCCAAAACTGTATGAGGACCAATGGCCTCTGCCTTTAAGAGGGCTTTGCATGAAGGCTAAAGACAGGCTTCCACTGAGTTTCAAATTCCCTTTGGCGGTGTTCACTAGGGACAGGTGCTGAAATGTGCCAGTCTCGCTACTGCTGCTCAAAACAGTTGAGATGGTTACCAGTCTTATCTCCTTATCTACCACCTCGAAACAGTTTCTGTTGATGACTACAGAACAGTTTTCCCCCATTTTACAACAGGACCAGATGCCACATGCCTATACTTTGCATGACAACTTAAAACCCTGTTTCATGACTCCTTTTTGCTGTGTTTCAAAACTATTGTTTTGAAAGTGAGGAGTGGTGGTGGGAAGGAGGGGTGCAAGGTCACAGACCGGCTGGAGAATCTAATAACAATTATGGACGCTGCCCCTTGAAAAATGCAGATATCAACATGCAAGTACCTTTACACATGATTTCAAGGGATTCACTTTCCCCCGAGGTCTCTCTGTGGAACCCAGGTAAGGAAAGCTTGCTTTAAGGAGATAATAAGGCCAAGATCCTTCATGGCTTTCTTCCTGGGGCAGTCCTAGTCAGAGGAGGAGGCCAGGCCACAACTTCCTCCACCCCAGACAATGATAATAATGGCACTTTCCACTTAAGGCAGTAATGAGGGAGAAAAGAGGCACATCAAGAGCATAGCATCAGAACTGTCACAGGTTATGCACCCAGTAAATGAAAGTACTCTTTTTTTTTTCTTTTCCAAAATATAAACTCCATCAGGAAGATGATACAGGAAGGCTTTAGCATCTTAGGGAGAATGAGTTTCCCTTGACCAAGATAGGGACCGGATGGAAAGAGGACTCTGGGGGATGGAGACAGGGGCAGAAAGCAGGATCTGTTCACTCCCAGGCCCTCCTGGAGCCTCCACAGCTCTGAGGGCTCCATCCCACCTGGGCCTGCCCTCCTTACCTCGAAGGAAAAACGCCACAAGCAACACCAACAGCACAAATCCCACGGAGGGAGCAATGATCATTAGCAGGTCAGGGTTGATGACCATTTTTACCTGGTGAGACACAGGGAAGGTGATGGGGCCACTCGTTTCTGAACTTCATACTCACACAGCTTCCGGTCCCAATCATATCTTCCCTCCACCAGCAGCTTCACTGCTTCTCACCCCATTTTGCCCGACATGTCTCAAGATCAAGACAAGGCAGCCTTACAAATCAGAAGTTTTTAAAAATAATCTCCGAAAATCTGGAACATTTTCCCAGACCCCCAAATCTTCCTGTCTCCGACATCAGGCATATGAGCTGTGGGGCTCAGGGGTCTGAAGATAGGAAAGAGCTGTGCTGTGAGCCCTGTGTTCTCCATGGTCAAGTCTCTTCATTGGCTACCACCTAAATCCTTTGAGTTCTGCCCAGTTCTGTGCAACTCAGGACCTCAGCTGACTTAGACCTCCAGAGGCAACAAGATAGAAGAGGAAAATGGAACTCAATTTCAACTTTTTGACAGCAGTGGTTCTCAAAGTGTAGCCAGGGGACCCATGAGATCAAAACGATTTTCATGAGACATTATTTGCCCTTTTCACTGTCATTCTCTCACAAGATGGAAGGTAGGGTTTCCCAGAGGTTACGTGACAAGTAATGGACTACTGTCACCATTCTGATGATAGAATATGCAAGCAGATAAGAGTATCTTTCTGTCTCCTAGCAAGCCAGACATTAATGAGATTTGCAGAAATGTCAAACAATGCCACTAATGCCACTTCTCTTGCTAATATTTTTTCGTTCGGGGAAAATAGAGTTATTTTTCATAAAACGTTATTTAGGTCAACAAGTAATAGATTTGCTTTCTTTGCTTTTAAATGAATTAACATCACTTTAAATTTGTTTTAATTTTTATGAGTGTACAGGACTTCTGACACCAAATCATCTGAGGAGTTTTGCTCTGCAGGCAGCACCTAGTTCTGGTAGGGGCTCAATGCCACCTCTGCTGCCCAGGTCATGCTCCATTTCCTCACCTTCCTGTCCCTTTCTCCAACACAGCAGCAAGGAGGGACAACAATCTCTCTCTGCAGAGAGAGAGGGGAAGGAAGAAAGAAGGGATGGGGACCCTTTTCCCTTTTCCCTTATAAGTGTCTATTCTGCTGACAGTTTTTACTTGATGCAGCTTGAACCACTTTTGTGATGATAAAAATTAATGAAAGGCACGGTCAGCAAATAAGAAATATGCCGGTGGCAAGGGTTGATTCTGCAGGACGTCACTAACCCTGGGCCATGCAGAAGGAACACATATTGATCTTTCCATGTTTTTGTATGGTTTTTTCTCTTATTGGTTTCCAAAGCATCTGCACATATAGAAGTAACAATATGAATGTTAGTTCTGCCAAGAGCACGAGTCTACAGATTCCTCAGCTAACTCACAACCGTTGCTGCTTAGATAGATCTGTCCTCCCCAGTTCATTTCTGCAAACCTCTATTGTGGATTTTAAAAATGGAAGTCACATGCTTCAAATACTTCACAAAAATTTTTACCTCTTCTGATTGAGCTTCATTCTGCACAACCATTGCTGTCTCAGATTCTGGGGAGGAAAAGTGGGAGGAAATGTTTATATTTTCTGTGGAGGAATAAAATACCACATCCTGAAATAGGCATTTCAAACCTCATCTGGAATCTTAGTTGATGTGTTTAATCTTTCAATCCCATCTTTTCTTTTTGTATAATTTATTTACAACACATTTGTTTTGAGATGGTTTTATCTGATACTCAGCTCCTATCCAACATTATGCCACAGGAACATCTCCATTTTATAGATGGGTAGAGTGGGGCATTAGGTCAGCAGGCAATTGGGTCTGCATTTTCTGTAGGTCCCAGCAACACATTCAGGATTTTTATCCAGCCAAAAAATGTGCCAATCCATTAGTTAACAAATATCTATTATGCATTTATTATAGGCCATGTACTGTGCTAGCCTGACCATCAACCTGGCTGATGAAATTTACAACTTAAGGCAGAAAACCAAATTTTTTTGAACAATTTTTTTCTAATTTTTTGTTTTATTGTTGAGAGAGACAGAGCTTGAGGTGGGGTGGGGGGAGAAAGAGAGGCAGATGCAGAATCTGAAGCAGGATCCAAGCTCTGAACTGTCAGCACTGAGTCTGATGCGGGGCTCGAACTCACAAACTGTGAGATCATGCCCTGAGCCGAATTTAAATGCTTAGCTGACTGAGCCACCCAGGCGCCCTCAGGAAATCAAATTGAAACACACACACACACACACACAAAAAAAGTGAGTGGTTGAAAAAATAATGTCCTAATTGTGCAAAATTCTGGGAATAAATAATGCAAGATGTAGGGGCATATCACAAGGATGGCTGACCTGTTCTGGAGGACCAAGGGTAAGTGTTCTCTAGAAGGTGAAGGTCTCATGAGACATGGATGTTTTTATGTATAAACAATAATTGAGTTCATCAAGGAAAACATACTGAGAATCTACCAAACGCTAAGTACTATTCCAGGCACTAAGAATGCTAAGATGAACACGGCATGGCCCCACCATCATGAAATTTATAGTACATTACAGAAGGAAGACCAGTGGCCCCACAGGCCGAGGTAATGATGGACCATGGAAGGTTGCTGATGAGGGCAGGCACAGGGAGAGGCATGTAGCCTACCATCATAGTTCAGTGAGAACTTCTAGAATTAAGCTCCATGAGGACAGTGTCCCTCTGCCTGCTCAACAACTGGACCCCAACACTGCCTGGCACACACTCGTTGCTCAGTGTTTGTTGAATGAGTAACACCTGAACTGAGTTAAGGTTGGGTAAGAATTAGCAATGAAAGATAGTAAGGGCCTTTTAGGTAGAGCAGTATCAGAAAAGCCATGAAGCATGGAACAGTGTGGTTCCAAGTGGGATGGCAAGAGGCTGTGAAGGTAGAAAATGAGGAATGTGGAGTGGCAGAGGATTACACAGAGATGGGCAGGAACCCATCATGCTGGTAAGTCTCCATTTAATGCTGTAGGCAGTGGGCAACTATGGAAACATCTTAAGCTTGTTATGGTCTAGTTAAGAGGATAAGGAGATAACCAGATGAGATGATCAGTTATCATCTGGTCCCAGGTCCGAAATTCAGAGCCAGTAGAAACAAAGGGAGAAAGACAGATTTCAGAAATGCTTAGCAGGGAGATCAAGAGGAAGTGGACGTTGAACGTGAGGGTGAGAAAGAAACAAGTCTTAGATAATTTGCAGATTCCTTCTTGAGACTCTGGGCCATTGCCCAGCTGTCTGCTAAGACTGGGCACAGAAGAAGCAGAGCAGAAGTGTCCATCTCGGTGAAAAGGATGAGTTCAAATTTATAATCGGTGAGGAAGGCACCTGAGGGACACACACACACAACACTGGCCTAACGTGCAGTTGGCAGATTTAAATCTGAATCAAACTCAGGAAAAGCTGGAGTTGCAGATACTGATTTGGGAGTCATCGGTCTCCAAGGAGAGTTAAAGTCCTCAGAGCATATAAGAAGTCCAAGGGCTGTGTGTCCAAAGAGAGAAGAGCAGGAAACCTAAGAAACCCCAGCACTTAAAAGGTGGGCAGAGAAGGTGAGGGAGAAGGAAGCAGAAGAAACAAATGGCAGAGAGTAGAAAGTGAGAACTGTGTCAAGGAATCCAGGCCAGGAGAAAATGCCAAGGAAGAATGCTAAATCACATGTGCAACAAAACCTGCTGATAGAAACAGAACATAAAGCCACACATAGACGAGGCCTGAATATAATACAAATCTAGGCCGATAATTACTGAAATTGATCATTGTTTCTCCCAGCCTTCCTTGCACTCAAGGCATAAGAAAAAACATGATGGGTTTTCTAAGGCTCATAATTTGGTACAAGAGTTTATTTCTTCGACAGGGAAAGTGACCTGTTGAATGCCTAGGAGCATAAAGTCTGAGGAGAAAATTCAGCATGTTTTCATATCCTACAACTCAGTTATTGTTGTTTTTCTCTCTGCTATTATCCCCTAGAACTGGAAATTGCAGGTAAGAATTCAAATCTCCTACCCCTGTTTTGTCAAAATCCTATAGTATTACAATCATTTGTGGCAGATAAGCTGGAAATTGAAACCATCAAAGAGAAAAGCCATCCCAGGTCAGTTTTGTCACAGCTAATCTGTATTTTATTTTTTTTTCTTTTTTTTCAACGTTTTATTTTATTTTTTGGGACAGAGAGAGACAGAGCATGAACGGGGGAGGGGCAGAGAGAGAGAGGGAGACACAGAATCGGAAACAGGCTCCAGGCTCTGAGCCATCAGCCCAGAGCCTGACGCGGGGCTCGAACTCATGGACCGCGAGATCGTGACCTGCTAATCTGTATTTTAAATTGGAATTGTCTAATGGGAGAGACGTTTTGTAAACACAAACACTGCTGAGTGATACCAAACAATACTCCTCCTTCTCCTCCTTCTCCTCCTTCTCCTCCTCCTCCTTCCCCTCCTCCTCATCTTCCTTCTCTTCTTCAGAAATTGCCAAAAGGCCCAGTGGAGGCACTCCAAACCCAGTGTTAGATAGAGTTAGACACCGAATGAATGGCTGGAGACATTTGTTTCCCATGAAACGCAGTGATGCTAACAGCTACGGGATGGGGTAGGCAAGTGAAGACTACTCACTTCTGTGTTTTCTGTGCTACCTTGGTCCTTCCACTCTCAAGACCCTGACCTCTTACACAAGCACATTCAGGCAAAGGCAGGAGCCCCCCTGAACTTGCAAGAAAAGCAATTCTGTGAGAGGGGAACTGTGGTAGATTAAGTATGGTCTTCCTCAAAATTATGTGTACTCAGAACCTCAGACTGTGACCTTTTAGAAATAGGGCATCTTTGCAGATGTAATTAGTTTAAAGATATTGAGATGAAACCATCCTAGATTTAGGATAGGTCTTAAATCCAATGGCAGGCATCCTTGTAAGGAGTGAAGAAGACACAGAGAGACACACAGGGAAGGCCACATAAAGATGGGCAGAGATTGAAGGCATGTGGCTTCAAGCCAAGGAATCTCCGAGGCGCCAGAAGCTGGAAGAGACGAGAAGGGATCTTCCCTTAGAGCCTCCAGAGAGAACATGGCCCTGCTGACACCTCGATTTTAGGACTTCTGACCTCCTGCACAATAAGACGATAAATTTGTGTTGGTCTATGCCACTACATTTCTGGTAAATTTTTACAGCATCCTTGGGAATTTAATACAGAGACACAGTGATCACTAAGGTCTTCCACAGGAACAGCGGCTCTGGGGACGGGCACAAGGGATGACAGGAAGACTGACCCTCATTTAAAATGTTTTTGTACGCTTTGTACTTTCACCATATATGTATGGTTATCTACCTAAAAGAAATTCATCACCAGGCAATAACAACGATAAAAGAATCTTCAACTTAACCACACTTTTCCCAGGTCTATGGACCCACCGATACTTCTGATTAATATTAGACTTCCCTACAGGGTGAGAATGCATTTATATTAAAAAAAAATACGAAAATATGGACAGTCTTGGCAGAGTTGTCATTGTAAATCAGTAAATTGGCTTATGGGTACTCTGGCAAAGTGGAATTCCTGTGGGATTCCACCCCAGACCTTGGAGCACTGTGAGAACACACCTGGGTCTCCCCAACGCTGCACTGCCATCTCTGAATATGTATCTACCCCAGGTTTCCTGGCTGTGTGACCTTGGGCATGATATTTGCTCTCTCTGAGCCACAGTTTACTCATCCCAAAATGCTGATATTGCCCCAACCAATCTCCTATGTCCTTTTCAACCTTTAAATTTCTGGATGCCTTTGTAAAAAAGAATTTGAATGACCTGAGAAAATGATTATTTTTCATGGTAATTTTTTAAAAAGGATGTAAAGCTATGCTTAGTATAGAAAATCAGTATGTAAATACTTAAGAACATACAACAAACACATGCATACTTCTTGCTTCACAAGGAAAACTGAAAAGAAATACTGAAAGACTAGATACATCTGACATCGAGTGGAAATATTATAGGCAATTAAAAAATTTTTAATTAGCACTTTTTTATAATTTCTAGATTTTCTCAAATGAGAAAATTTTAACTGTAAAATATATATATGTTAATTACTGAAAACTCTCCAAGATGCCTGAGTCAAGAGCAAACTCTCAAGGTTTCGCTGAAGCACTGCCACAGTGACCTTCTAAGTGACACTTTGAAGATCACTGTTAGAAACACATCAACTCACAGCTGAAAAAGAACTCGGTGATGCTATTAGTAAAAGACAGCCCCCTAGATATGAGTACTGGTGTACAAAGATGTTCAGGATATATATATATATATATATATATATATATATACATATATATATATATATAACATTATATATCATATATGTGTATATTACATATTATATATCATGTGTGTATATTACATATTATATATGTATGTGTGTAATATGCATGTATGTATATTACATGTTATATATGTATATTACATATATGTGTGTTTGTAATATGTGTGTAATATACATATATATGTAATACATATAAGTCTCTAGAGCGAGAATATAGACTTATATATAGGCAGAGAGACTTTTCTGTATATCAAAAATGGTTTGTTT